TGGATCTGGGCCTCGAACCACAGTCAGCCATGTGGGAGTCCAGTGCCTTAACCACCATGCCACCTACTGGCGCCCAAATGACTTTGATTATGATTAGACTTTACTTGCTAGAGTGAGTGGGATTTTTCTTTTGAAAAGACGTGACCATCCCCCCTGGGGGGTGATTTCTCGCTTTCTGTCTCTATGTCTCTCTCTGTCTGTCTGGCGAGCGCACGCGCCCTACAGTGAAAATCTCTCCAAAAAGAAAAAAAAAGAAACAAAAAAAACTAAATCCTTGGGGGTTTGAGCACTGGCTAGAGAACAGGACATTGTGTTAGTTCTCGAAACCAAGGTGCGTAACAGCGACAGTGACGTAGGTATTAATACCATGCATTGGTCATATGCTCTGAAGGCTTCGGAGTCAAAATATTGGAGAAGCTGAGCTGAAGCACGCGGGGGTGAGGGCAGGCTGTATGCAGGGCACCTTGGGATTTGCTGCTTATAAATGACATAAAAGCATTCCCCTTCCTGATGAAGTTTGACTTGGAAGGCCCAAAATGGTATCTCAAACTGATTCAGTGCCGAAGACTTTTGAATCCTAGAGAACATATCTGTAGCCTTTGAATAGAAGGAGGAACGGGAGCCGGCGGGAGGCAGTGACTTCATGGTGCTCGGAGCCGTGTCGTTTGGGCGGCGTCTCACTCTGCCTTTGTGTGCTGCATCGCTGCTCATACCGACACCTTCGTTTTTCTCTCACTTGATGAGAAGTGCATTTAGATTTAACTTAGGCTTCCCACTTTTTTTCAGGTTTCACATTTTTTAGTGCAGAAGACGTGTTCCCACACCCATTAATCTGTGACCTAGCTGGAGTCCAAAGGCAATCTCACAGGGGTGTAAATGGCCGTCAAGACTAAGCCTGGACCCAGAGCCAGACGTGGCCAGCCTCCATGGACAGGCGGTGTTTTCCTTCCTATTAAAAGGGCCTCAGGATAGGGCTAAATGTATCACAGAAGCGGTGGCAATGGAAATTGCATTTCTAAATGTAACACGTTCAAGGCGGTGCCTTTAAAAACTCACATGTGCAACCGTATCCCTTCAGTCTCCACTTTGCACACTCAGGGTAGTTCACGCATTGCAAAGAGCACGTCGCCCCTAGCTCATTTGGGTTGGGTTTTGGATCTTATTAATGTTGCATCGATTTGCAGGAAGTACATTTCCCCCCAGAAGGTTGATGTGATACCTTTTCTTCAAATTTTCTACCCATTTGGGGAAAAGAATGGAAGGCGTGTCCTCTTCCCGTAGCAGTGATCTCAGGACTGAGACGAGGTCTGCTAGGTATTTCGCCCCTCGGAAGACGTGCTGTATGAGCAGCACCAGGGCGAGCTTCCCCTTGCGCACCGGGGGCCGCGCTGTGCCGTGGAGCCCTGCCGTGCCGTCGCTGCGGGTCTACCTTCGCACCCGTGCGGTCTTGCTTTCTAAGACATGCGACACTGGAGTCCACAACTGTTAATTCTGTATTAATAGCGTAGCCCGAGTTAGACCGTGCGGAACGAATCGCAGTTTAAATTAGTTCTGCACTTGAACAAGGTGAATGGAGGTTTTACTGTTGGGGAGAGCGCGGAGTTACATCTAGGTTTCCTCCAAGGGTGGCAGTTAAATCTTCAGGTAAATCTCGATGAGGGCGACAGGCATAACGTTCTTGATATCCCCATTCTGATTTGACAAGACAAGCATCAGGCGCCGTTGCTTGTCCTTTTCTGCTGTTGGCATGCAGACAGTGGTGGGGGAGGGAAAAGCGTGTTCTGTGCTACAACTGGATGATGTGGTTGGTGTAAATGATTGACTATGAAGCTTTTAATCAAAATAAAAGGTACCATTCAGCACTTGTGTTTGTTTTCTAGGGACACAACCAAATCATAACATATAGCAGACCGATCTATTTTTCTGTGCTGTGTGGCCTTATTTTGCTTCTTGATACAGGGGCCAAGGCCAGGCACCCTCCCAGCTACGCCGTGTATGGCCTGAAGCCCTTCTCTTCAGCGTCCCTGCAATCAGCTAGGGACCACTTAATTGGTGAGTCAATTTCAGGGTGCTGGGGAAGAACACGGGGCGGGAAGGAGGACGTTCGCCCCTTTGCCTTCCAACTCCCTAACCAGAGAAACCTCCCTGCTTTTCCATCGGTGAAGAGACATGTATTTCCTTCCTGGCTTGCTCACCTACAGAAGCCAATCCCAAGCCCCGGCCCCAAGGCCTCCCACGGTGGAACTATCCTAAAGGATCCTCGGCTCCACGGCCAAGGAGCTGCAGCACTGTGGAGGCTGCATGAGGGCCCGTCTGTTCACTGGGCGTGGCTTGCCCTAGGGACAGCCTCCGCACCCTTCACAGGGCACAGACGCTCTGGTAACACACGAGTGGGCATGGCTTGCAGCCTGGGGGGGCCTCAGGTACTCTGGTCACTCAGTCTGCCCCTGGTGTGCTTTGCTTCCCGAAGGTCCAGGCAGTGTTTGATGTAAAATGTCTCATGGAAGTAGACCTTCTGGGGGCCGGCAGGTGGCGTGGTGGTTAAGGGCGCAGGACTCCCACATAGCCAACTGCGGTTTGAGTCCTGGACCTGGCGACTTTCTTTCTCAATTCTCTCTCGCTTACTCTCTCTCACTCTGTCCCTCTAAAAAAAATAATAAAATAAAGTTAAATAAAATAATTTTTTTGAAAAAAAGAAGAACAATAAGAAATAAATAGGCCTCCTGCATACCGTATGGTTCAGAGCCTGACTCGAGAGCTGGGCCACCCAGGATCGAGTTCCAGTTCTGTCACCTTCCAGGTGTGTGGACGGCAGTGGCACCACGTCGGAAGCCGAGTTTGAGTCCGTGTACTCGAGCACAGGGCGCTTCTGGTACTGTTGTCTACGCAGACGCTGGCCCCGTGGCGGCCCTGGCCCTGAAGGCAGGATGGCAGATGCTCTGACACATCTGGCCTTGCACACCTGCTGCCATGAGACTGGCTAGGCGCACATTGACCAGCTGGGTTTAGAAAGGGCAGCTGGCAAGATGCCAGCCTGGATGTCTGGCTGCCTAGACTCTGCTCGAGCAGGGGCCCCAGCCTGAGGTGCCACGGCCCTCTTTCCCCACACCCGTGCCCGTCCCCGGTCTCCACGGTGGGCCTGGAGAGGGCACCAGACGTGGGGTCAGATGCCTCATGTTCCACACAGGCTGAGACTCAGGCAGGCTTTCTGCACCCTGGCTCTCCTCCCAGCTCCCCTCACCCACCCCGCCCGCCCTGCCACTGCAAGCCCACGTTTGATTGCACCTTCAGCAGCCCTCCCTTTTACGGCGTGTGAGGAACTGAGCAGCTTCTCAATGTCCAATAGTTTGACGCCCTGTTTCAGTGAGCCTCCGAGTTCAGCCAGGGGACAGAAGCATGTTGGGAAAAATAACCACGCTACGAGGGGGCACCTGCCTGTGCCCTGAAAGATGCGTTGGCTTCCGCCCTTCCAGATGTCTCTCATTTGACTTTGTCCTTTTTTGAAGTCCTGTTAGTTGAAACACATCCCTCAACCGGAAGGGCTCTCGGTCATACTCGCCTCTCCTAGTGGAGCTCACTCACCTTCCCCTGAGACCAGCTGCAGTGAAGTCAGAGTCGGGCAGACTGACACCCGGCTGACTGCTGCCGTGTGCGGAGAACCCCCCTTCCTGGCATCTTCTCTTCGCGAACAGCAGTGCTGAAGCCCAGAGCTCGAGGACACAGGAGGGCCTGGGCTAGCGATGGGGAGTACATAGGAGTTCTGGAAGGTCCAAGAGAGGTTGCTGACAGCGTAGCCCCTTCCTCTCTGCGTCATGCATGCCATGGCATGTGCCTCATGGCCACCTCCTCTGACCTCCAGTATAGGGTGGGGTAGACAGAGTTCACCTGTGGCCTGAGCCAGAGGAGCCTCATCGCCCTGGCCTCCTGTCTCACCCTGGCACGTCGTGGTCCTGCTCCGAGCGGCTCTGCCCTCCCCCCGCCCTTCCCCGGGCTGGTGAGCAGCGGCCCGTCTCCCCAAGTTTGGGCCCGTCTTTTCTCCTGTCAGCCTACACTTTTCCTAGCACTTGGCCTGTTTCGAAGCAGTTTGTTCACATTTGTGGTGTCTCAGTCACGGCTCCCTCTCCCATTGGTTCACCCTCTCCGTGGACGCAGGGCACAGACCTGCCTGCCCTCCCCACAGGCACTCAGCACCCAGCGGATGGCCGGTGTCCTCAGGCACTCGGTAAACTCCCGTGGGACGGGTGAACCAAGGAACAGCAGTGTGCCCGGTGTGCCTCGGAGTGCTCCCTACCCTCGGGGAAGGCTGCCGTTGGTCTGCACGCCCTGCCCAGCCCCTGCAATAAGCAGGGTTCCAAAAGCACCTTTCGGAGGAAGAGACCTGGGGGAGCCGAGCGTGGTCCTATCCCATCTAGAAGCTGTGTTTGTGTGGGTCGCCCCTCAGTCCTGTTTTTCTTTAATTTGTTTCCAAAAAAAAAGCAAACACTGTTGACTAAAGGCAGTTTCTGGACATGGCGGTCTGCAAGGGCGTTGGCACGTGTGATGTCCTCAGACCCAGGAAGCAAGACCTGGTGGCCTTGGCGAGAGCTTGCGGTTCCATCCTCAGTCACCGTCAGGAGCAGCTCTGCACAGCTCGCCGCCTTCCTCGGCCTCCTTCAAAGCAATTCCCTTGGGAATGGAAGGGGACAGGGACATGCCATTCGTGTCTTTACACTGGAGTTCCCCTCTCCTCATTAAAACTTCTGCCTAACACACACTTCTGTCGTCTCGTCAACAGTGACAAGCAAAGATGGCGATGAGCAATCCAGCGAGCTGAAGTGATGACTCCTGGAATGGCGATAAATAGAAAAACAGCGGTAGCAACCCCATGGGACGCGTGTGTTAAACATACTAATTTGCACTGAGTAGGAAAAGATTGTGAAACACGCTCAGAATGAACAGGAAGGGGAGGAAGAAGATGGCGTGTTTTTCTTGAATTTGTTTCCAAAAAAAAAGCAAACACTGTTGACTAAAGGCAGTTTCTGGACATGGCGGTCTGCAAGGGCGTTGGCACGTGTGATGTCCTCAGACCCAGGAAGCAAGACCTGGTGGCCTTGGCGAGAGCTTGCGGTTCCATCCTCAGTCACCGTCAGGAGCAGCTCTGCACAGCTCGCCGCCTTCCTCGGCCTCCTTCAAAGCAATTCCCTTGGGAATGGAAGGGGACAGGGACATGCCATTCGTGTCTTTACACTGGAGTTCCCCTCTCCTCATTAAAACTTCTGCCTAACACACACTTCTGTCGTCTCGTCAACAGTGACAAGCAAAGATGGCGATGAGCAATCCAGCGAGCTGAAGTGATGACTCCTGGAATGGCGATAAATAGAAAAACAGCGGTAGCAACCCCATGGGACGCGTGTGTTAAACATACTAATTTGCACTGAGTAGGAAAAGATTGTGAAACACGCTCAGAATGAACAGGAAGGGGAGGAAGAAGATGGCGTTTCCACCGAGGGAGAAGGAGCATTTCAGACTTCTGTGCTTTGTGAAATGACTTTGCCCTCTGTTCCAGGACCCATCTCAATAGTGTATAGCAGCGAATATGCTACCAACCCGCGTGGCGGTGTGCGTCCTGCCGACCCACATAGGAGTCTATATACTACCGATCTACATGGCAGTGTATATGCTACTGATCTATACAGTAGTAGATGTATTACTGATCTGAGTAGTAGGTATACTGCTGATCTGCATAGTAGTCTACACAGCAGTATAGATAATACTGATCTGAGTAGTAGGTATACTACTGGCCTGCATAGTAGTCTGCACAGCAGTATAGATAATACTGATCTGAGTAGTAGGTATACTACTGGCCTGCATAGTAGTCTGCACAGCAGTATAGATAATACTGATCTGAGTAGTAGGTATACTACTGGCCTGCATAGTAGTCTGCACAGCAGTATAGATAATACTGATCTGAGTAGTAGGTATACTACTGGCCTGCATAGTAGTCTGCACAGCAGTATAGATAATACTGATCTGAGTAGTAGGTATACTACTGGCCTGCATAGTAGTCTGCACAGCAGTATAGATAATACTGATCTGAGTAGTAGGTATACTACTGGCCTGCATAGTAGTCTGCACAGCAGTATAGATAATACTGATCTGAGTAGTAGGTATACTGCTGATCTGCATAGTAGTCTACACAGCAGTACAGATAATACTGATCTGAGTAGTAGAAATATTGCTGATCTCATAGTAGTCTACACAGCACTATAGATAATACCGATGTGAGTAGTAGATATACTGCTGATCTCATAGTAGTCTACACAGCAGTATAGATAATACTGATCTGAGTAGTAGGTATACTGCTGATCTGCATAATAGTCTACACAGCAGTATAGATAATACTGATCTGAGTAGTAGGTATACTGCTGATCTGCATAATAGTCTACACAGCAGTATAGATAATACTGATCTGAGTAGTAGGTATACTGCTGATCTGCATAATAGTCTACACAGCAGTATAGATAATACTGATCTGAGTAGTAGGTATACTGCTGATCTGCATAATAGTCTACACAGCAGTATAGATAATACTGATCTGAGTAGTAGGTATACTGCTGATCTGCATAATAGTCTACACAGCAGTATAGATAATACTGATCTGAGTAGTAGGTATACTGCTGATCTGCATAATAGTCTACACAGCAGTATAGATAATACTGATCTGAGTAGTAGGTATACTGCTGATCTGCATAATAGTCTACACAGCAGTATAGATAATACTGATCTGAGTAGTAGGTATACTGCTGATCTGCATAATAGTCTACACAGCAGTATAGATAATACTGATCTGAGTAGTAGGTATACTGCTGATCTGCATAATAGTCTACACAGCAGTATAGATAATACTGATCTGAGTAGTAGGTATACTGCTGATCTGCATAATAGTCTACACAGCAGTATAGATAATACTGATCTGAGTAGTAGGTATACTGCTGATCTGCATAATAGTCTACACAGCAGTATAGATAATACTGATCTGAGTAGTAGGTATACTGCTGATCTGCATAATAGTCTACACAGCAGTATAGATAATACTGATCTGAGTAGTATATTACTGCTGTCATTGTTACCTGGAAGGACTAGGGAGAAGAAGAAAAATAGGCAAAACCAAAGATTATTAGGAAAACAAAGGTGTGCATTAGTCCCTTGGGCTGCCTTAGCAGAGCACTGTACACCAGTGGGCTTAGGACAACAGAAACACATTGTCTTGGACCTTGGGAGACCAGAAATCTGGAATCAAGGTGTTGGGAAAGCCAAGCTCTCTTTGCAGACTCCAGAGGAGATCTGCTCCAGGGCCCTCTCCTTGGCGTGCAAATGGCCTCTTTCTTCCTGTAGCTCCATGTCACTGTCCCTCTGTGCATCTCTGTCTCTGTGTCCACGTTCCCCTCTTTATAAGGACACCAGTCACTGACTGGGACCCTCGTGGCCACTAATACTCTCATCTTCACTGTATCACCTGCAGCCTTTGTAGGTACTGGGGGTTGGGACCTCAGCATCTCTGGGGGACACGATGCAACCCACACCACAGAGCACGTAGTCAAAAGGATGAGAGAAGTAAGGAATAAGCGCACGAGACGTGGTCGACCATCCTGGGCCAGAGCTGCTGCAGCCCCTCCCGCTGCGTTTGGTGGAATCGGTCCTCCTCTGGCTGGTGCCAGGAACATGAGAGCTTCCTAACTGGTGATATTCCTGGTACCCACGGCCCCACCTGGTTTCCGCTCAGCACTGTCAATCTGACAGAGGGGCAGGAAAGGGGGAGGAGGGCCTGGGGTCTGCCGTGAGCAGAGCAGAGCGGAGCAGAGCCCACCTCCGCCTGGGCCAGAAGAGCACCTCAAAGGCAGGAAGAGAATGTCTGAGACTCGAACAATAGGAGGAGGAGAAATGAAGATAAATTAAGGAGATAGAAGCATAGAATTCTTATGTACGTTCCTTTTCTCTTATGACCCTTCTCTCTCTCTCTCTCCACACACACAAACACACACACACACACACACACACACACACACACGTATATATTCAGAATAGCACTCTGCACTCTCCTTTCAGTGTAAGAAAAATTCTCTATTTTTATTTCCAGGAAGAAGGTGACGCTTCTCATTTCCTGTGCTCAGTCAGAATCCGGCGCCCTCTGAGCTGGGTTTTGTTACTTTCCATTTGGGTAACTTCAGCAGAACCCTGCGAGTGACACCGGCTCCATAATCACCCCGCAGGAGGGAGCCCAGGGGTCTTCGGGTTCTCAGAACCGTGTTTCAGAGGGAGAGGAGGCAGAATTAGTGTGCCCAGGGCATTAGCCACATGGGCTCCCCCAGGTCTGCAAACGGTCAGCGGATGTGGGGTGTCGGCCTCGAGGGGAAACATGGGGGTGGTGGAGGGCGCTTCATTGTGGAAGGCGTTCTAGCCAGGGCAGGTGCCATTCCGGAGGCCGGGTCCAGGCGCAGTGTGGTTCCGGCCCAGCCTCTGTGGTCCTTTTCAGATTTGAGAACTTTCTGTTCCATCCTGGCAATAATAATCGATACGCCTGCTCACAGCAGGGCCTGTGGCTTCAGCCCGTAGCCCTAGAGACAGGTGGGCCGTGGCCAGAGTCCTGGTGGGCCCCGGCCCGCATCTCGTCCTGAGGCTGTCTGCGGGCCTCAGCTACGGCTTCCGGTATGGG